AATATGAAATAGCAGAAGAATAAAAAAAATAGTTATGAGGCGTGAGGTCACTTTCTTTTAAGGATTTATATATCAAAATTCTCTAAAAAATTAAATGTAGAACTCTGACTTTGCATAACAATGTATAATACCTGAAAAGTCACTATTTGTATGGATGTATTCCTCTAAAAAGATATCATTTCATAGAAGTACATGTTTTAATAAAAATTTTAAAGATGTTATAGCAGTCAAGTGCCCAAGTGTCCATCTTTTGACTATATATAAATGGGTTAAGCCCAATTTTCTTTGGATTTCACTTTATTTAATTATTTGTTGATAAATAATAAGCATTTATAAACTCTTTTAAGTTCTCATACTTTTTTTTTATGTAGGATCTTAAATATTTACAGGCTATTCAACAACAGCAAAGAGCACATTCCATATTTACAAAGTATTCAACAACCGCAAAGAGCACATTCCAGCACGGAGCACCCACCATCTGGCCGACTGTGTGGGTGAACACAACGTTGGTCACCAGAAAGTAGTTCATCCATTGTATTTTATCAAACACCACGTTACTGCAGTAGCGCCTGCATGATGCAAAGGCAACAAGAGCGACTGCTCCTGAAACCATCAACGCCATGTTTAATTCAATAAATTCCAATCTCTTTACGGCCTCTTTATGAACATCATAAGGGGGTACACTACAATTAAAGGCATGATGATGAGCCATTGAATGGAATGACAATCCTAAGAGCTGCGTGTTTCAATAGGCACGGGTTTTTGTCCAGCTTTTGTGGTGTCTTTTAACTTGTACAAGTGATTCTATTTTGCCTTTTGCTGGGTCTTGATTTGGAATTTAATTTGGATCTTCCTTATATTAACTTTAGATTTGATTGTTGGGAGGTTTTATATTTTATTTTGTTTGCTGTGGAAGGGATGTTAAAATATTAAAAGAGTTTGTTCTATGCGGAGAACAAGTTTTCTGTGAAAATACATTTTAAATGAGATGTTTTGGTTTTTCTAAAAAGTAAAAATAAAATAAAAAATAAAAAATAAAAAAATAAAAACCACTGGACATGTTCTTAATAAATAATGTATCACTAGCAACAACTTTACTTCTATACTGTCTTTAAATAATTACTTTTACCTTTACCTATAATAAAAGATTACTTATAATAATATCTTTTCTTGTAAGTAATTTTTGGTGAAGGTTAAGGATACTCTATTAAAAATTAATAAAATCATATTTTTC